AAAAAAAAAAAAGCTCCAGGAATTAACAGAATACCTATGGAAATGTTTCAATAAACTAAATCAGCACTGGGAAAAAAAAAACAAAACCCAGCACTGGAGGCACTCACTTGTCTATGACCATCTGATTGAAAGAGATGTACCCATATTTGTACTCATTCCAACTACAGGAGTCTGGGTGTGGCAGCATGGGTTAATGCGCCAGACTACAAAGCCATTTGAACTGCAAGGTTGGTGGTTCAAGCTCACCAGTTGCTCTTCGGAAACCCTACACTGGGTTGTTATGGTTCGGAACTGACTCGACAGCATTTCACAACAACAACAACAATGGAATGAAGAAATTATCAAACAATATCACTAAGATCACATGCAAGTAAAATTTTTCTGAAGATAACTTAAAAATGGCTGCAGCAGCATACCAATAAGGAACTGTCAAAAATTCAAGCCTGATTCAGAAGAGGATATGTAATGACAATATCACTGCTGACGTGTAGGTGGATCTTGATTGAATGTAGAGAATTGCAGAAAGATGTTTACTTCTGTTTTATTGCCTATGCAAAGGCATTTGACTGTGTAGATTATAACAAACATTGTGAAGAATGAGAAATCCAGAATACTTCATTGTGTTCACGAGGAATCTGTACTCAGACCAAGAAGCAGTGGTTTGAATAGAACAAGGAGATACTGAATGGTTTAAAATCAGTGTTGTATCCTTTCACCCTGGAGTTCTGGTGTGGTGCTGTAGGTCAATGCACTGGGCTGCAAAGTCAGTTTGAACAGCAAGGTCATCAGTTCAAACTCACCAGCAGCTTCTTGGAAACCCTATACAGGGTTGCTATGAGTTGGAACCGAATCGATGGCACTTAACAACAACAATCCTTTTACCTTACTAATTTAATCTGTATGCTAAGTAAATAATTCTAGAAATTGGATGATATGAAACACATGGCATCAGAATTAGAGCAAGATGTATTAACAATCTGCGATATGGAGATGACACAATCTTGCTTACTGGAAGGGAAGAGGGCTTGAAATACTTACTGATGAAGATTAAACACAGCCTTCAGTATGGATTGAACCTCAGTGTAAAGAAAATGAAAATCCTCACAACTGGACGAATAACTAACATCAGGAAAAACGAAGAAAGTATTGAAGTTGTCAACGACTTCGTTTTGCTTGGATCCACAATAAACGCTCATGGAAACAGCAGTCAAGAAATCAAATGACTTATTGCATTAGGCAAATCTGCAGCAAAAGACCTCTTTAAAATGATAAAGAGCAAAGACACCAGTTTGATGACTCTGGTGTACCTGACCCAAGCCACGCTGTTTTCAATTGCCTAATATGCATCGACCAAGATGCAGTTGTTTGAACAGAACATGGGAACACTGAATGGTTTAAAATTAAGAAACGTGCGTGACAAGGTTGTATTCTTTCACTATACTTATTCAACCCGGATGCTGAGCAAATAATCTGAGAAGCTGGTTTATATGAAGAAAAACGTGGCATCAGGATTGAAGGAAAACTCATTAACAACCTGTGATATGCAGATGATACAACCTTGCTTGTTGAAAGTGAAGAGCACTTAAAACATTTACTGATGAAGATCCAAGAGCACAGCTTTCAGTATGGATTACATCTCAATGTCAAGAAAACAAAAATCTCACCACTGGACCAATAAACAACATTCTTATCAATGGAGAAAAGATTGAAGTTGTCAAGGACTTCAATCTTCTTGGATCAACTATCAACACTCGTGGAGGCAGCAGTCAAGAGATCAGACGATGTATTGCATTGGGCAAATCTGCTGCACAAGACCTTTTTAAAGTGTTGAAGAGCAAAAATGTCAGCTTGAGGATTAAGGTGCACCTGACCCAAGCCATGGTATTTCAATAACCTCATATGCATGCGAAAGCTGGCCAGTGAATAAGGAAGACCGTAGAAGTATTGACGCCTTTAAGTTATGGTGTTGGAGGAAAATATTGAAATGCCATGGGCTGCCAAAAGAACCAATATATCTGTTTTGTTAGAAGTGCAGCCAGAGTGCTCTTTGGAGGCCAAGATGGCTAAACTTTGTCTCTCATACTTTGGACATATATTAGGAGTGACCAGTCTCTGGAGAAGGATATCATGTTTGGTAAGGTGGAGGGTCATAGAAAAAGAGGAAAACCCCCAACAAGATGGATTGGCCAAGTGGCAGCATCAATGGACTGAAGCATGGCAACAGTAGTGAGACTGGCCCAGGATCGGGCAGTGTTCCGTGTATAAGGTCGCTATGAATTGGTACTGACTGGATGGCACTTAACAACAACTATATGCATGTGAAAGTTGGACAATGAATAAGGAAGGCTGAAGAAGAAACAAGGCATTTGAATTATAGTGTTGGAAAATATTATTAAAAATACCATTGACCAGAAGAACAAACAAATCTTTCTTGTTAGAAGTACAACTAGAATACTTATTAGAAGCAAGAATGGCTAGATTATGCCTCTTGTACTTTGGACATATGGTCAGAAATGACTAGACCCTGGAGAGACATAATGCTTGGTAAAGTAGAGAGTCAGCAGAAGAAAGGAAGTCCGCCAACAAGATGGATTCACAGCAACAATTGGTTCAATATAGCAAACGTGAGGCTCTTGTAGTACCAGGCAGTGTTTCATTCTATGCTATAGTTGGAACCTGACAACATGATAATTCTATGTTTAATTTAAAAATAAAAAATAAAAAAGCTTTTACTGTGCATTCAGTAATAATTTACATGGAAGAACATCAGTTTTGCACTCATCCTATTGTATTTCATATCATTGCAATGATTATAATCCCCTCCATGCATCACCATTGATAGTATTTGCTTCTAGTCTCCTATTTTTTTTTTTTTTTTTTTGATGTACACAAAAACATTCAAGAATAATCACTTAAACCACCCAAGGGCACATTCTGCAAGCCTGCCTCCTGGCTGCCAGCATACAACCTTTCTGTTTCCATGAGTCTACAGTCCTCAATTGCTCTCTCTCTCCAGGTCTTCATCTCTGCCTCCATCTCTGGTATTGCTGCTTCTCTGGATAGGATCCCACATTTCGCTCATGCTCTTCTCCCTTGATGGTCCTAGAGTACTCTGTTCCTGAAATGTAAGATGTTCATTACTTTCCCCTTTATGTTACAAAATATCTACCTTTACAGTTGTGATAATCGCAACTAGTCATGATAACAATTACTTGCTATTGAATTTTAAGAATCCTTTGCCCATCTTCTTTCACCAGACCCATCTAAACAAGATGAAAACTATTCAATGGGGATTCTACCTTCCCCCACACACTCTGAAACTAAACTCCCTCTTGAAAACTTGAAAGTCAGCCACTTCATGCATTTATATCCCCCACATTTTAGGTAGCCAATTTCTAAATTGCCCATCCCTATCAATCCTATGTACAGAGGGTAAATGTTTGATCCTTGCTGTGAAGACTCCTTCCCTCTCAGTTGGTATTTTGAACTACTACATCCACAAGTATAGGTCAAGTTCATCAGATTTTAGCAATTTATACTTGTTTCCTTTATCAAATTTCTTTATCTTCCTTTATTTGAGTTCTGATCATCAAGCCATTGAAGATAGGTCAAAGTGTGGGTATTCTTGTGTGTCTCCCCTTACTTCTTATCAGCTGGAAGCTTTCCTCTTAGTTCTAGCCCTCTATGGCTAGGTCCTTGTCTATGGGCTTAGGAGTCCTCAGGTCTCACCACGCTTCGAATCACTATGTTTAACTTTTAAGAAATTGTTTTCCACAGTGCCTGCACTATTTCACATTCTCCACCAGCAATATTTGGGGATTCTGACTTTTCCACATATTTACCAACATCATTTATTATCGTTCTTGTTATAACCATTCTTGTTGTTATTATGTTGTTAAGTGCTATTGAGTCAGTTCTGACCCATAGTGACCCTATGTAGGGTTTCTGAGGAGTAGCTAATGAGCTTGAATCAGCAACCCTGTGGTTCAAACTGATTTTTCAGTCCAGCACATTAGCCCACAGTGGTACACCAGGACACCATAGTGGTTGGGAAATAGCTATCTTAGTGGTTAGAAAATGATAACTCATTGTGGTTTTGATTTGCAACATCTTTTCATATGCTTATTGTCCACTTGTTTATCTTCTTTGAGAAATGTTTATTTAGTTCTTTGTCCATTTTTTAATTGTGTTGTCTTTTTTTTATTTGTTGAGTTATAAGAGATCTTCATAATGCATGGATCCTAAACCAAAGCACTTGGCTTTGGCAAAAGGTTAATGGGTTGAATACAGCAACTGCTTCATGGAAGAAAGATTTAGCAATTTACTTCTGTGAAGGTTACAGCATAGGAAACCCTGAGGCAGTACTACTGTCGCATAGGGCTGCTGAGTCAGAATCTACAGGCAGACAACAACAGACTCTTATCAGGTATTTGATTGATATTTTCTCCCATTCTTGTTAGTGCTTATGCACATAAGTACTTTTCAAAGATGACAAAACTGACACAAAGGCTTGGGAACTGACTTTGCCAAGATCTGATAGTTAGATATTTATTTAAACAAGCTAATACTCAATTGAATCACATAATTTTTTAAAACCAATGATAAGATGATGAAAAAAAACTTGAAAAAAGACAGAAGTAAGTGATGGTTTTATTGGAAATTTGCAACATGGAAATCACGTACAAAGTCCTTTCAGATGATAGATCTAGCTGCTTTCTTTGCAACTAACATCTTCTACTACATGAAAATTTCAATACAGAACATTTACATGAGTAGCTTTAGTTTCAGGCCTGGAGCAGCTGTGAAATGAAAGTTACCACACCATTCTAGTCCTTGTATGTCAGTATACTGTCCTTCGCCTTCCACCCTGCATGGGTCAGAAATAAGAGTGTTTATTAACCAAGAACAAAAATGTACAGTCCAGATACAAAGCTCTCAAGCATATTGTATACTATAGCTGAAACACTGTATCTTTCCACTTACAAAGTGCTATCATATCCTACAAAATATTACTGTTACAAATGAACCTTACCATTATACAAATTTGTTATGTGGCATCCTGTTGGTTTTGACTCATAGTGACCCTGTATACTGTTTCCAAGTAATGGATGGTGAGATTGAACCACAGACCTTGAAGTCAAGTGCTTATCCTATAGTGCCACACCACCTCCCTAAAGAAATAAGTTGTTGTTGTTAAGTGCTGGTAGAGTCAGTTCCAACTCATTGCGACCCTGTATAGGATTTCTGAGGAGTGGCTGGTGAGCTTGAACTGCTGATCTGTGGTTCAAACTGACCTTGCAGTCCAGCACATTAACCCACAGCACCACATAGGATTCGAAACTGTGTGTCCAAAAATTTAGTGTCATAATAAGCTAAGTTTGCAAGTTTACCCAAGACCAAAATAATCAGTTAGGAAAAAAAAAAAAAAGTTAGTTATTTGACTTAATTATTTCTTTCATTTATTCAATTACTATTTATTGGCCACCAACTAGGTATGGGGTTTTCTGTGCTGATTATAGAACAGTGAAAGGCACAAATATGATCCCTGTTTTCTTGGACTCCTTGGAGTAGTGAAAATGAATTTGGCATAAACAACAGTGATTTATCCTTAACTAGTTCATAATTTTGATGCTACTATATATGATGAGTCCTGGTGTGGTGCTGTGGGTTAATGCGTCAGACTGCAAAGCCGTTTGAACTGCAAGGTCGGCGGTTCAAGTTCACCAGCTGCTCTTAGGAAACCCTATACACGGTCGCTATGGGTCAGAATCGACTCGACGGCACTTCACAACAATAACATATATAATATTGGGTTCCTGGTGTGGCGCTGTGGGTTAATGTGCCAGACTGTAAAGCCGTTTGAACTGCAAGGTCAGTGGTTCAAGCTCACCAGCTGCTCCTAGGAAACCCTATACAGGGTCGCTAGGGGTCGGAACTGACTCGACAACCCTTAACAACAGCAACATATATGAATTATTTTAAAATTTCCATTTCCAATTGTTCTTTGCTAGTATATGTTGTTGTTGTTGTCAAGTGCCATCGAGTTGATTCCAACCCATAGCGACCCTGTATAGGGTTTTCCAAGGAGCAGGTGATGAGCTTGAACTACCAACCTTGCAGTTCAAATGATTTTGCAGTCTGGCGCATTAACCCACAGCGTCACACAATTAATTTTTGTATGATGATTTTGTCTCTTGTAACCTTGCTAAATTCATTTACTTCCTCTAATAATTCTTTTGGACTTCTGGTGTGGTGCTGTAGGATCAGCAATGGACTTTGACCCACAAAGTCGGAAGTTCAGACCCACCCTATACAGGGTAGGAGTCGGAATCAACTTGAAGGCACGTAACAACAACAACAACAATTCTTTTGATAGAGTCATGAGGGTCTTTTACATAGATGATCAAGTCGCCTACAAATAAAGACAGTTTTATTTACTGTTTTCAGACTCTGCTCCATCTTCATTTTCTAAAAATAAATGAGGTAAAACCCCTTTACTGTTGTTTTTACGGATTTCATGGGGAAATCTATGTTAACTTGGCTTCTTTAACCAGAAATCCCGCACTATTTTTTAAAATCTTTTTTAGAAGGCTTCTTGAACTTTTTTTTCAATTAGTTTTCATAGTCCTTCTTATCATCATGTTCTTATGAGCTAGGTAGGGAAACTATAATTCATCCTATTTTACAGAGAAAGTGATGTGGTCATAAGAGAGTTAGTTACATGAATGACAAGTCACCAGCTAGCCTGGTACTAAAAGAACCCAGTTTCCTTGGTCTTACATCTAAATAAAGAACAATACGAAGATGGGAAATGAAAAAAAGAAAGGTCAGAATAATGAAGGGATTTTAGACTGGCTCAAAAGTTCTACAGAATAGAAAAGTCAAGAGGAAATAAGTGAAGAGTCTAATAGATTATCACCAAGAATACTGTTTCCTTTTCGAAGTTTATTACAATTTGAGTTTCTTTTATAATAATTTCCCTCCCAAAGTAATCTAATAATTTTTCGAAATGAAATATTTTAGAAAAGATAATTTGGCATCAAATATAATATTAAATCAAACATGCCTAAAAGAGAATCTTTCAGAACTACAGTGACTTTATTCTAAGCTTACCTATTTTCATTGAAATTTCCAGTGTACTTTGCCCCAGTTGGGAATGTATAAGTCCCCAATCCATGAAACATATTGTCCTTAAATTGTCCTTCATATACTGCTCCTGAAAAATGTTCAAGTCTTCCAAAGCCATTCATCTGTTCGTAGCAAAAGAAATGACCTCAGCGACTAATCATGTTTTCTTAGAACCTTACAAAAACGTACACATATAAGTCTGTTGTCATGAACTGAATTGTGTCCCCCCAAAATATGTGTCGGCTTGGCTGGATCATGATTCTGCGTGGTTTGGCAGCTGTGTGATGATCCCCCATGATGTGATCTGATGGGATAAATGAATAAGAGGATTATTGGACTGCTAACCACAAGGTTGGCAGTTCAAACCCACCAGCTGCTCCTCGGAAACTCTATACAGGGTTGCTATGAGTCTGAACCAACTTGATGGCACATAGTAACACACCACCTTTAATCCCACCAAGATCCTGATCAAACCCAAGGGTGTAGCCTACAACAAGAGATAAAAGGCAAGAAAGTGAGCTGAGAAAAGGGGACCTATTATCATCATGAAAGAAGGTCTGAGAGTGGAGTGTGTCTTTTGGATCTGGGGTCCCTGCCCAGTGAAGCTCACACATGGAGATCTCCAAGGACTGCTGGGCCTATAGATACTGAAAGGAGACAAGGACAATTCCCCAGAGCCAGCACGCTGAATTCTAACTTTTAGTCTTCTAAACTCTGAGAGAATACATTTCTGTTTGTTAAAACCATCTACTTGTGGTATTTCTGTTATAGCAGTGCTAGATAACGAACACATTTGTCTTAAGTATACAGTGCTGCTTTAACAGAAATACCACAAGTCAGTGGTCTCAATAAACAGAAATTTATTTTCTCACCATTTAGAATTCAGGTGCTGGCTAGAGGAAAAAGTTTCTCTCTCTCCATTGGCTCTTGAGGAAGCTACTGTCTCTTCAGTTTCTGCTGGTTCCTTAGAGAACTCCCTGTTGTCTTGGCATCTATTTTATCCCATGTCTCTTATGCTCTATTGTTTAATCACTTATATCTCAAAAGAGATTGACTCAAAGTACACCTTACACTAACCCTTCCTTATTAACATACAATCACAACCCATTCTCAAATGGGACTATAATCACGGGAATAGAGGTTAGAATTTACAATACATAATTTGGTGGGCCACAATTCAATCCATAAGATTAATTATTTCATCTATAATTTTATCACCCTTTATTTCCAAAAACATTTTCATCATTATTCTTCAGGTACAGCTACCTACAAAGCTTACTTAATCAAATATTCCTGATCTAAGACATCTGAACATTTAGAGGGTCCAAGAAGATAATAGTGGTCCTTAAGATATTATAAACTTTTATAGCTGAACCACTTTAATTAGTGCAGGAAACAGTATAACGCAGTTATTAAGAATGGAGATTTGCATTCAAGCAGACCTGGATACATTCTTGTTTTGTCACTTGGTAGCTAGGCAAGCTAGGCCTGAGAGCCTGCATAAGAAAAGCAGGAGTCTTAATGTCAGCTGGGGCGTTTTTGATTGGGAATCAATTTGATGGCACTTACCTCGTGAAGTTATGAGGACTAAAGGAGGATACAATGGGTTTAGGTTTACTCAGTGAATGAGAGATGAGAAGATGATAATGATGAATTCTATATGGATTTAATACTACTCACCTAACATATGGAGCCCAGGTGTGGCGATGTGGGTTAATGGGCCAGACTTCAAAGCCATTTGAAGTGCAAGCTTTGCAGTTCAAACTCACTGGAAACCCTAATACAGGTTGCTATGGGTCGAAGTCAACTCAACGGCACTTTACAACAACAACAACCTAACATATATTGTTGTTATTGTTGTTAAATGCCGTCGAGTCACTTCCAACTCATAACGACCAAGTGTAGGGTTTCCAAGGAGTAGTTTGAACCACCAGCTTTGTGGTTAGCAGTCCAGTGCTTATCCTACAGCACCACACCATATTAATATATTTTAAATATTTGATGTTTTAATTGTATAGTTTAGTCATACATTTTTAATTGATGGTAAAATATTTAGAACCATAAGGATTACTTACCCATTCTCAAAATATAAAAACAACAATAATACCTTGTCATCTTTCCAGCTTCCTGTATAAACAATTCCATTCTGGGTGGTATGAATCCCTACTCCATTTCTCTCAAAGATTCCAGAAGATGTTCTTGTGCAGTCACCATCTTAACAAGAGAGAAATACTGAAGATGATAAATGGGAACACTGTGTGACTAGACCTAGTCACAACTATACCCCTGTGGAGCTGTTTTGTCCCATAGAATGGAAAACAGTAAGACCAAAGGTGAGGAGATGTATGGACACAGAAGCTCTTATAACCATGAGACCCAAGGACCTGAAAGATGGATAGATAGTTCCTATAGGTTTCCCGGGCATTTTGACTAGACTTAACATTATAGTTTAGAATTTAAGTCTGTTTATCTATTAATATTTCTAAGTTATTTCATTTAATAGATTTAACATCTGGATAGTAGTTTTTATAAAATGTGACAGTCTCTCTTTTTTTTTTCTTCCCACTCTTACGCTATTTTAGTCCGTATAGAAAAAGTAACTTAAAAAAAATTCTTACCATACTTGTCTCCATTTGGAAATATAAAGTTTATCTTATAAGTTTCTGAGGCTGTTTTAAAAAAATGTAAGAAAAGTCACATAAGTTTCAGTATTTTTATGTCATGAGACTTAAAATAAGTGTGCTTTAAGAGTTATCAAAATAGACTCACTACATACAATCCCAAGTACATCATAACTACTTGACCTTCCCATTTTCACTGTAGGGTCTTGGGGAAAATAAACAGTTTTGCCTAGATTATCTATTTTTGTTTATTTATTATAATAACTTCATTAATATATAATTTACACACCACAAAGTTTTCCCTTCATAACTGCACAATTCAATGGTTTTTAAAATATTCAGAAGTGTACAATCATCACCAAAAGAAGCACTCGATCCACTAACAGTTACTCCCATTCTCCTCATGCCTTCTCCAGCCATTAGCAACCACTCATCGACTTTCTGTTTCTATAGATTTACCTATGCTGGACACTTTATATTCATAGATTCCTAACTACATAACTTTTTCTTATTGGCTCCTTTCGCTTATCATAATGTTTTCAAAGTCCATCTGTATTGTAGCACCTTACCTTCCTTCCTCTTTATTGATTCCCTGGGTGGGATAAATAGTCAATGTGCTTGGCTAGAAACCAAAAGGGTAAGAGGTTACAGTCCACACAAACGTACCTTGGAAAAAAGGTCATGTGATGTACTTCTGAAATATCAACCATTGGAAATTGTTTGGAGTACATATCTACTATGACACACCATGAGTAGAAGCTGACTTGTTACAATTAGTAGGTGTGTTATGGATTGAATTGTTTCCTTCTAAAAATTGTGTTATACATCATAATCTCTATATCTATGATTATGCTGCCATTTATGAATAGGTTGTCTTTTTTATGTTAATAAGACAGGATTGCTGGAGGGTGTATCTTGAGACAATCTGTTTTGAGATAAAGAAGAGATTAAACAAATAAACTGAAATGGGGAAGACACATGCCAAGCCACATGAAGACTGCTCAGGAGCAGAAACTCAGAAGACATGAGAACTTTCCTCCAGAGCCAACAAAGAGGGAAAGACTGCCCTAAAACTGGCACTGTGAATTTGTACTTCTAGCCTCCCAAACTTTGTAAAGAAAATAAATTCCTGTTAGTTAAAGTTACTGACTTGTGCTATTTCTGTTATATCAGCATTAGAGAAATAGAGCAGAATTTGGTACCAAACATAGGGTGGTACTTTAACAGATACCTAAAATATGGAAGTAGCTTTGGAACTGAGTAATGGATAGAAGCTGAATGAGTGTTGTGGTGCTGTGGGTTAATGCGTTGGACTGCAATGTTGGTCTGATCTGCAAGGTCGTTGGTTCAGGGTCACCCGCCACTCCTCAGAAACCCTACACAGGGTCGTTATGAGTCAGAGATGACTCAACAGCCCTTAACAACAACAACAATAATGAAAGCCTAGATCACCTTGAAGAGATTGATGGCAGAATTATGGACATCAAAGGCAATTCTTGTAAGGGCTCAAAAGAAGTGAGGAGTGAAAAGTCTCTATCATCTTCAAGAATCCATATGGTGCCAGTAACCGAATGTTGCTAGAAATGTGGACGTTAAATGTGTTCCTGATGAAGTTTTAAAAGGAAAGGATGAACATGTGGTTAGACAATAGAGGAAAGGTGATGCTTTTTATACAGTGGCAAAGAGCTTGTCTCAATTATGTTCAAATGTTTGATGGAAGGGTAAGTGATATACTTGTATATCTGGCTAAGATTTCTAAGATCTTAAATGGGCTGTATGTTACGTATAATATGAGAGGAACGTGATGGACTTAAAAATGGATTGTGCAAAATGAAAACTAAGCTAAAAGATTTAGGAAATTCTGTTGTAGAAACTAAGAACACATGTCCAAGGATGTGGCTCTATAAGCCCTTGTTAAAGAGATAAGCTTGTGGCTGATGGATCTATTCAACAACCACAACAGAAATTCATCAACTTAGACTGAAGGGGAAAGAAAGTTAATGGAAGAAAAGAACGTCTCTTAGAATCTACAGGACTAACAAGTCAAAGGAGCTACATCTGTCCTCCACAGAAAGAAAAAGACCATCCCTGGAGTAACTTGGAGATTAGCAGAAAAGTCAGAAGGAGCACAGGAAGCAGGATTTTCTGTTTCAAAGAGCAAGACCACTGTCTCCCAGATCTCAAGGTTGGGACCACAGCCTCCTAGGATTCAGTCTGATATTCTTCAACAACTTAGTTCTAGTATGTGGGACTGCCATTAGGGTGTGCCCAAGGCTGAGGGGCAAGACTACCATGTTCAAAGTGCAAAGAATGGAGCAGAAGGTGCTGAGGGATTGGTGTCACTACTCTGATGGACTAGGAAAATGGGACTACCCAAAGTTGAGGGAGCAAAGTTGCCATCTAAGTAGGCCTAACAGGCAGAACTGAAGTCCAGACTGAGGAATGTGTCTCCAGAATGCAGGGAGCATGGCCACAACCCTGGAGTCTGGAAGGCAGGGCTCTTGCCTAGATGGTCTCAGAGAAGAAAGGATGGTTTTCAAGCCTTAAGAGCTAATGCAAATTGTTTCGCTGAGTTTTGGACTTCCTTGGTGCCCTTTATGCCTATTTTTCCTTCAGTTGCTCAAACTTGTCATGAACATGTCTACCTTTTTTGTACCATTGCACTTTGGAAGCTGGTAACCTGTAGTCTAAATATCTAGATAAGTAAACTTCTAGGGATCAACCAGAATGCTACTCCAAGTGTGACGTATGTGTTAGAATTACCTGGGGTGCTTGTGAATTCCTGGGACCTCCCTCAAATCTACGGTATCATAATCTCTATGAGTTAAGAAAGGTTGGAGGCTCACTCCTGAGCAAACAGATGACACGACAGGAAGATTTTAAAGTAACAGAGAAAAGATTGAAGTTCTCAAGGACTTCATTCTTCTTGGATCAACTATCAACACTCATGGAAGCAGCAGTCAAGAAATCAAATGAAGTATTGCATTAGGCAAACCTGCTGCACTAGACCTTTTTAAAGTATTGAAGAACAAATATGTCAGCTTGAGGACTAAGGTGCACCTGCCCCAAGCCATGGTATTTTCAATAAACTCATATGCATGTGAAAGGTGGACAGTGAATAAGGAAGACCGTTGAAGAATCGATGGTTTTGAGTTATGGTGTTGGAGGAGAATATTGAAAGTGTCATGGGCTGCCAAAAGAACCAACAGATCCGTTTTGGAAGAAGTGCAGCCAGAGTGCTCCTTGGAGGCCAGGATGGCCAAACTTCATCTCTCATACTTCAGACATATTGTCAGGAGGGACCGGTCACTGGAGAAGGGTATCATGTTTGGTAAGGTGGAGGGTCAGACAAAAAAAGGAAGACCTTCAGCGAGATGTATTGGCAAAGCGGCAGCATCAATGGGCTCATGTGTGCTAACAGTAGTGAGGTTGGTCCAGGATCGGGCAGTGTTTCATTCTGCTGTGCATAAGGTCGCTATGAGTCGGTACCGACTCGATGGTACCTAACAACAACAACATCTTCATAGAGAAAGGGAAAGTATATTATCCTGGAAGTCGGAATAGGTGGTTATGAAAAAGCATCAACTAGCAGTCCAGGAAATGAATAATGTAATTGATAAACTAAACTGCAACAGAAGTTCTGAAAAGCCAAATGGACACAATTTGAAAAGTAAATTAGTGAACTAGAAAATCAGGCTGAAAATATTTCTCAGTAAGAAATGCAAAGAAAAAAACAGATAACCTAAAAACAACAAACTATCTACAAAGGAACAGCAATCAGACTAACATCAGCAACAGTGAATGCTGAAAAAAATATCATGAAGTCTTTAACATGCTGAGGGGAAAATGTGAACCTAATAGTCTACTTCTCCTTCCAACCAAATTATTAATCTAAAATTATGAAGCTAAAGTTGTTGTTTTGAGATGCCAGAATTCAATTTACTGCCTATACCTCCTCTCTGAAGTCCTGGTGTGGTGCTGCAGGATAATGCAGTAGGATGTAAGGTTGGTTTGAACCACAAGGTGGGCAGTTCAAACCCACCAGCCACTCCTCAGAAATCTTACACAGGGTTGCTATGCTTCGGAACCAACTGGATGGGACTAACAACAACAACAGCAACCCCTTCTTTGAAAGAAATACTAGAAAATGCACTTTAATAAGGAGAAAAAATAATTCAAGAAAAGATGAAAGTTTGATGGCAAAATAAAAAGTAAATGAAGAAAAATGCAATAAGTAACAACACTTTTATTTATTGTTGAGATCATTAGTTGCTTAGATCTATCAGTCACAATAAAAAGCAACTACTGTTTTATTAAGTTTTTAAACTGAATCTGTAACTAAAATTCAGATAATAGCAATATGAGGGTTAGAAAGCAACCTTGTTAGAGTTCTGGTCTTATTTGGGGTTAAATATAAACATCAATTGGCACCAAATCTTAGGAAACTATAAATTTAGACATATTTGTTTCATATTTTCCCCCCTGTAATTTCTAAGGTTTGGTTGTATTATTGTTGTTAAGTGTCGTTGAGACAGTCCCGACCCATAGCAACCCTGTATAGGGTTTCCCAAGAAACAGCTGGTGAGCTTGAACCACCGACCTTGCAATTCAAATGGCTTTGCTGTCTGATGCATTAACCCACAGCATCACTACATAAATTATATACCTAAATGTAATCAATTAGTTATTTACATGTTTGCTACATTAAAAGTCCTGAGGGGGCAGGGACACAGAACTGCAATGTAAGTATAAGTACTTAACTAATGATACCAATTAAATTGCTGAATTCCTAAAAGCAAGTCCCTCTCACCTTTCTTGCTGTTCTGTTTCTGTGACTAATTAACAGGTATTTATCCTTAGGAGCGGCATAAGAGTCTAGTCAGTTTGTCTTAGTGGTGGCTTGTGTGTTGCTAAGAAGTTACACTACCAACATTTTAAACACCAGAAAGGTTACCCAAGGTAGACAACTTTCAGTGAAGCTAATAGACTAACACACACTAGGAAGGAGAGGGAGATCACTTCTGAAAAGTTAGCTACTAAAA